CCCACTCCCACTTCCACTCGGCAATAGGCAAGGATTGCAACAAACCTACTGCCCTCTAATGTTCGGCCTTCACTTGCTGACAAGTAAGGCACTTAGATACAAAAACTGCCACATCTTTCTTCATACCCCGTCACCAGAACTGGCGACCCAAATCACGATACATTTTAGTGCCTCCCGGATGCACCACAAGGCATGAATGATGAAACTCTCGGAGTACTTCCTCTTGGCAAGACTCCGGCACAAATAGACAGTCTCGGTACCTCACACTCAGGTCGGGGTACACAGTCAAACCCTTCTCAACCTTTCCACTGGAGATCTTCTCCCGGAGGGATTCTACCTCAAGGTCACTCCTTTGTGCCTCTAACACCCGATTCACAAGTGTAGGTTGCACAACTACAGAAAACAAGGCCGCAGACTCAACAAATTCGCCCAGAAGCAAATCAATCTCGCCAAGTGCACCCAACATTTCCCACTCCCGGATGGCTATTCAAACTACATCACTAATGGATTTCCTGCTAAGGGCATCAGCCATAATATTGGCCTTCCCTGGGTGATAATGCAACTCGAAGTTGTAATCCTCAATAAACTCCATCCACCTCCTTTGCCTCAAGTTCAAGTCTTTCTATGTAAACAGATATTTCAGACTTTTATGATCCGAGAACACCTCGAATCTCTAACCATAAAGGTAATGCCTCCAAATCTTCAGGGCAAAAATCATAGCTGCTAACTCTAGGTCATGTGTAGGGTAATTCCTTTCATGTATTTTCAACTGCCGCGAGCCATAGGTTACCATTTTCCCCTCTTACATCAACACGCAACCCAAACCCTCTCGTGAAGCATCACAATACATTGCATAACCCAAACCCCTCTCCGGAATAATCAAAACGGGAGCGGTGGTAAGTCTAACCTTAAGTTCTTGGAACGACTTTTCACAAGTCTCACTCCATACAGACCCCTTTCTGAGTCAATCTAGTCAAAGGCGAAGCTAGCCTGGAGAAATCTTTCACAAACTGACGGCAATAACCAGCCAATCCCAGAAAACTGCGGATCTAAAAAACACTCTTAAGCTGTGCCCAATCTTGCACTGCCTCTATCTTGGATGTATCAACAGACACCCTTTCCCCAGAGACTACATAGCCTAAGAACTTAGCCTCTCTTAGCCAAAACTCACACTTTCCAAACTTAACATACAGTTTATGGGCTCTAAGTAACTCAAGCACCACTCTCAAGTGTTCCTCGTGCTCCTCCTCAGAAGGTGAATAAATTAGAATGTCATCCACAAAAACGACCACAAAGCAATCTAAGAACTCTCGGAATGTCCGGTTCATCAAGTCCATAAACACTACCGGTGCATTGGTGAGCCCAAAAGGCATCACCAGAAACTCATAATGGGCATACCGCGCACGGAATGCCGTCTTCGGAATATCCTCCTCCCTGACCCTCAACTGATGGTAACCCGATCTCAAGTCTATCTTGGAGAAACAATGGGACCCTTTTAACTGGTCAAACAAATCATCAATACGAGACATAGGGTACTTGCTCTTAACCGTAGCCTGATTCAATTTCCAGTAATCAATAAAAAGTCTCAAAGCCCCATCTTTCTTTTTAGCAAAGAGGGCTGGTGCTCCCCACGACGAAGTACTAGGGCGGATAAAGCCCTTATCCAGTAACTCCTAGAGCTGAATCTTCAACTCACTCAACTTGGCTGAGGCAAAACGATACAGTGCCATGGTAATCGGTGCCGTGCCAGGCACTAAGTCAATAGAGAACTCGTTCTCTCGATGAGGTGGTAGACTAACAAGATCCTCAGGAAAAACATTCAAATACTCACAAACCACTCTGGGTAACTCAATCTGGATCTCGTCACACTCACTACTCATACAGCTAGCAAGAAGGCAACTAAGCTCACTCCGCCCTCACGGATCATATACCGGTGGCAAAACTCTACCAACTCGATCCCTCAAGAAGTGAAAACAATCCCCGCTCAGGGTACATACACTAACCCTCTGGCGGTAGTAATCAATAATAGCTCGGTATGACAATAACCAGTCCATACCTAAAATCACATTAAAACCCGACATAGCCATAACTACAAAAGAAAATGGAAGCCGGCGGTCGGTGACCTCTATATCACAACCTTTACACCTTTGTTTCAAAATCAACTCACCTCCAACGGGTGATACAACACAAATAGGAGAAGCTAACTGCGCCAACTCCAACCCCAAAACAGATGCAAATGCAGCAGATATAAAGGAATGTGATGCACTCGTATCAATCAACACATTAGCAACCGAGTTGTAAAACAAAAAGGTATCTCTCACAACAGATGGAACCGGTACAAGATCCTGCGCGGTAACAACATACACAAGCCCAGAAGGTCTCTGATCTACATGCTCACCTCTCGAAGCATAAGACTGTTGCATTGACTGAGCCGAAGAGGCTCCCTAATTGGCCCTCAAGGCCTGAACTGACTGAGCTAGCTGATGGCCCTGAGTCTGCCTCGAACCAGATACACTAGATGTGCCACTCAACTGCTGGCAAAACCTCTTCAGGTGCCCTGCCTGACCACACTAGTAACAAGAGAGCGGCTGGCCTTTGCCCTGACTCTGGCTCTAAGGACGAGCCAAAGATAAAGCTACTCTCTGTCCTCCTCTCCTTTGTGGGCAAGCTGGAGACTTGTGGCCCAGCTGACCACATTTGTAACAAGTAAAGTCTCCCTGACTGCCTCTCCCAGAGCCTGAACTCGGCACTGAAAAGGTAGATCTCACAAAAGCACCCTGGGACTGCTAAGGGTTAGAACCTCTCTACCTCCTACCATCTCCCTGGCCATCCTGACTCCTCTTGGAGCCCCTCATCCTATCCTCCTTCTCATGCATAATAATCTCAAGATGGGCTGCAGTATCCACAAGGCGCCCATACTCTCGAGTCATGGACCCAGCAACCCTAAGTTTGAGCCCGGTCCTTAACTTCTTTTCGAACTCAAGACAACGACATTTCTCAAACGCCACTAGCTCAGGTGCAAACCTAGATAAGCTGGTAAATGCGGCCTCAAACTCAGCCACTGGTGTATTCAGTTGCTTAACCTGACAGAATTGATCCCTCAACTTCTCCCTAACAGCGGGAGGCAAAAATTTCTCTTGGAAGGCACCAATGAAAGCCTCCCAAGTCCCACCAATACGGTCTCGAACAAACTTCCACCACTGACCCGCGTCTCCTTTCAGCTGGAAGGACGCCAAGGTCACCCGTTAACCTCCGTCTCCGATGCCAAGCATCTCAAACGTCTTCGTCATCTGCTCAAGCCACTTATCAGCCTTAAGTGGCTCTTTAGGATTCCCTAGAAACTCATCCGGATTAGACCGAAAAAACTCCCTCTTCAGAAAAGAAGGCCCTGCCCCAGCAACATGGGCCTGGACTTGATTCTCAGCCTGAGAATGTCCATGGATTCCCTCAATGCTCCTGTCATTTCGCAGGCTAAGGCACCCATGGCCTGCTGACTTACTGGCTCGGCCACATTGGCCTGACCAACACCCTCCTGTTGCGCTGGAATTTCATCCGGTATAGGCATCTCCTGCCTCCTAGGCCTACCATACCTACCACCACATCCTCGTCCTGACATCCTAATAAAGGTAACAAAGACATTAGCATATTCACAAATGTGTCGAAGCTATTTCACTCACGTCCTAATGTATTGGGCAACAGTAATTCATTCCACGTAAGCACATAATCACATAAGCACTTACGAATTTCATTTCCGGATAATGATAGTCCCGTGGCATTGCTAGAGTTCCGGTTAGAAACAGTATTGATCAAGTGCTTTTCCAACAGGACTCCCAGAAACCCAAGAATCCAATCAACATCCTAGAAACTAAATTCCATACCCATATAGTCACATAAGCATGTTATTAAATAAACACACAACATTACACATAAGTCTCTAATAAGTGAGACAAATCCATTGTGGTACTAACCACTTCCCACGTACCCAAAGTATTCAAACCCGGTACGCTCTGATACCAAGTTGTAATGCCCTCAAAATATTACATATCAACCAATCATTCAAGACATCCATAGTCATAAGAGAATAAAATATGTTTCATTTATCAGAGTGTTCATTACAAAAGTATTACATGTTGACAACAAAAGTAAATGCCCTACGGGCTTACAACTTTCTAAGCCAACACTTGCTTAATCATATAAATAAAATTCTTATTAGTACTTTATATGCAAATTTATATAATAAAACAGGAGAATTTTTAAAAATATATCAAAATATCTCAAAGATACATTTTTGTTTCAATGGTTAAGATTAATTCTCAAATTTATCATAAGATCAAGATTTCTTTAATTTTCACTCACTCATCTTCTTTCCCTCCCTTTTTTCACTCACTCACTCACTCACTCTCTCTCTCTCTCTCTCTCTTTCCTTTTTATTTTTATTTTTATTTTTCTCCATTTTCTATTTTCCTCCACATAATTTTTTATTTTTTCTTTTTGCTAACTTTTTTTTTTTATATTTATACTATGCCTGAACATACACTAGTATAGGCCATTTTGAAAAGTTCAAAAAATTAAAATTAAAAAAAAAATCAGCTTATTAGGTTATTGACTTAAGTTACATCAACTCTTTATTTTTTTACATACTTTTATAAAAAAATTAAAAAAAAAAAAAAGTTAACTTTTTTTTCATACTTCCCCAAACAAGGGTGTTTGATAAAAGGTTTTTTTTTTTTTTTTTTTTGGGCTTTTTAAGTTAAAATTCACAAAAAAATATAAAATACATTAAAATAGTTAATAAGATAAAATGTCACATTAAATTCATAATCATTTTATTTTTTCTCTTACAAATATCATATCCAACTATAAAAAAATTCAACTTTCTTTCCAAACACAAAAAATTTAACTTACTAAAATAATAAAAAAACAAAAATAGTAACTTTCTAAACACCCACTTTCTTAGGTTTTATAACGGTAGAATCACCCGGACTCGCGGGTCGGGTCAAAATTGCCGCTTAACTCTTTTCCTTGATCTTTCTTTTCGATCGGTCGATCGCTCGCTCTCTGCTGCCGGCTTTGGTTTAGCGGATAAGAAGAAAATGGCGCATTCGTGCGTGTCCACATCAGCTTCTTCTTCTTCTCTGAGACTCAACTCTCTGGTCTTCTCTACTGCTAACCCTAACTCCTCTTCCCAAACCAAAACCCTCTCTCTCCCCTTCCAGCCCCTTCGTTCCAGGTACTCTCACTCTCTCACCTCTTTTTTTACAATTGTCCAAACTAAATTACTTCTCAACTCTCTGTGGTTTCTCTGCAATCAATGGAGCATATTATGGCTTTTTGTAATAAATTTGAGATTCATATGTTTTCTTTTCTTTGGATTCAATTTGGGATTGAGTCCTTTGTGGTTTGCCAGGAAATTAAGAAAACTAGCTGCTAATCAAAAGAATGCCCCGAATTCTACAGTGAAGGTGGCCTTGTACTCGGGTCGGTTTTCAGAGCCGGAAAGGAGGGAGATTTGGTCCATTAGGTAGGATTTATCTGCCAATTCATGCCTCCTTTGATTGTCTGTGTGTGTGTATATGTATATTTACTTCTTTTGATTTGAATACCATTGAATTTGGTTGTTTAGGGATGATTTGCAAATCCCATCTTCACCTTACTTCCCGGCCTACGCTCAAGGAGGACAAGGCCCCCCTCCAATGGTGCAAGAGCGTTTCCAGAGTGTTATCAGTCAGCTTTTTCAACATGTAAGGGACTAGGGTTTGTGCTTTGTTGATATGTTCACTTTTGGTTGACTATCTAACTGTTGGTTAGTCTTATCAAGAATTGTTGTGTAAATGGTTTCTCTAGAGGATAATACGTTGTGGTGGAGCTGTTGATGATGACATGGCAAACATTATAGTTGCTCAGCTTCTCTATCTCGATGCCGTTGATCCTAACAAGGTTTGTTTTTTAAATTTTCTTTTTCAATTTTTTAAAATTTGATGACTATCATCTTAAATGCTTATGTTCACACATTGGGTTCCAAATCTTTGTTGTTTTCTTTCTTTTATGCATTTTTTGGGGGTGTGTGAAGTTCTTTTTCTATTTGTTTTTAACAAATATTTTTGACCTTTTGGAAATATATGAGCTGTTTTTCTTTTCGTTATTTATTTATAGGTTTTTAAAGAAACGGTTTGCTGTTCAACTATAAGCTTATTGTGTATGAGGAAATATTGAAAAATTAGATCATGACTGATATTGGAATTAGGACTCATTTTGCAAATACGTTTCCCAGTCTTAGAAACTTGAAAACAACTTATTTAGTTTGTTAACAACATATATTTTCTACTAATTGCACTACAAGTGCATAACTTTTATTGTGTTCGGAATAAAAAGAGAGGTTTGGATCATGATTATCAGAATTCTAATCCGGATCTTATGATCTTACGATCCATTTGAGTACAATCGATTCAGATCGTGTAAATGATTCTTTATAAGTAAGATCTTTCGATCCTGGTAATGGGATCTTATTGGATCGTGGAATCCCCGATCCTATCTGATCCAATTTACAAGCCTTATTTTGTATTGTATGACATATTTTATTATAAATTTTTTGTTTATTGTCTAAATATCAATTTATATGGTCAAAATAAATAATAAAAATTAAGCAGTATTAAATCAAATAGATTAAGAAAAACAAACTAAGAAACAAACATTCAAATATTGCGGTAATTTAAGAAAATTAATTAGTCAGAAAAACAAACTTATCTTTAGCGGAGTCTAAGAAGGGTAAGATGATTGCAATTTTATTCCAATTTTTAGAGAGATTATTTTTGTGACTCGAATCCGCTCTACCAGGGATGCTAACGACAAACCTTATCATTCGGTTAAGCTGCTCTTTTGAGTTCTTAATTTATTTTCATATCCAACTTTGTTAAGTATTTTTTCTTAACTTTTTATGCATTATTGTAGATTGTAAAGTATTCTGTTATAGAATTATTCTTCTTCACCTTCTTTTTTGATGAAATTCAAAACTTTTACTATCGAGTTTTCTATTGTATAATATTATATGTACATTTTACATGGAGTATTATATTTTTCGCAATATCTTCACTTCTTTTTAATAGAATATAGGCTCATTTTGTATATACTTTTTAAGAAATATTTATTTAAATTAAATTATTATGTAATTTGTCGTTTTTGGTAGGATCTTACGATCGTCGATCGGATTCTACGATCCAATCCTATAAGCACCTCCAACGATTCAACGTAGGATCCCGATTTTAACAACCTTGGTTTGGATGTGAAATGATGATGTCTGATAATTATTGAATCAATTAAAGTAGCAAGGAACCAGGTCACAGGAATTTAATTTCAATGTGAATGTATCTTTCAAACTCAGTTTGTAAATCAAGATGCTAGTCAGTTCACTATGGTCTCATCTGGGAGTCTCAGGGAAGTTCAATTGCGTCATATCATAATGTATATCGCAGTCTTCTCATGTCATCAAATAGTTTAATACAAATTGTCAACTTTTTTTGTTGCTCAGAGGTCCCTTTTTTGGATGATTATGTTGTGCCTTCAAATGCTTTATAAAGCATAATAGAGCTAGTCAATTTTTAGGAGACCTCGAAGTGCACCACACCTGGACTAGCTTGCACTCCCTGTGGCAGAACTTAAATTTTAATTACAGGGACTACTTGCAACTAAGCATTAAACAATACAAAAGGCATACTGAAGGAATAAAGAAATCCTTTCTGCTGTGTCTGATACCATGATTCATGCATTCTGTAGAGAGGTTTTTAAACTAAATGCCTTTTCATGGTCTAATGTTTTCAATTTCTTACAATCTCACTTATGCATACATAAACTACCTTTGTTTACCTTTGAGCTTCCTACATAATATTCACATGTTTCTTAGTTCTCATTTAATCTCTCTCTCTCTCTCTCTCATGCACACATGCTTGCTCACACACAAAGACATAATTACGGTTTGATTTTTCTAACATTTAAATACATGGTGGAAGAATATACTCATAACTGATGGGTTGTTTTTTGAACAGGATATTGTCATGTATGTGAACTCTCCAGGAGGATCAGTTACAGCTGGTAATATCATTTTTTTGGTGATAAATTTGTTCTTTTGTTGATTTTTTATACATTTCTTTTCTGGCTGCCTGTGGATTTTCTTGATTTGATTATTTTAATCCCATTAGGAATGGCCATATTTGACACCATGAGGCATATAAGACCTGATGTTTCCACTGTATGTGTCGGACTAGCTGCTAGGTATCTCTCTCTCTCTCTCTCTCTCTCTCTCTCTCTCTCTTGCATCCACACATGCTTGTTCACTGTATGTGTCGGACTACCATTTGTGCTTTAGTGGGGTGGGTGTAAATTATGGTGTTTCATATTTGTGGTGGTGTAAATTATGAAGTTCATACGATGGTTATTCTTGACAGGGGTAGAACCGGGGTAGATCCAGAAATTATGTCTAAGGGGGCCAAGGTGTATGCATAAAAAAATTAAGTTGGTTTTGGTACATCACTAACAGAACATAATTTCTCAAGTGAGGGTTGCGAAAAAATTAATTTAAGCAAAGAAAAATAAATAAATCTAACAAGTCATTTTTTTCACTAGTTTCTAAAGTTTTGGACTATAAATTAAATCTCAGTATATAATTGATTAGACCACCATTTTACGACATTTTATTGGTTGGCATAATCTAGTAAATAAAAAGTATACATGACTTTTGATTTATTTATAAAAAAGAGAGAAAGAAACACAAAAAGAAGTGACATGTACCTCTTGTATAAAAATAATCGACTAGATTATATTGATGCTGTTTAAGTAACATGTGAAACAGAGTCATCTGTGAAAAATTAATAACATAGAGAGTTAGTAAAGTTCCCATTGTACATTTTACAAATATTCATGAAATATAGAAGTATTAATGTGATTCTGCCAGTCCCTATGTAGTTCCGCCACTGATTCTTGACAAACTACAAGGTTGGACTCTTGAGGGATTTTTGAAGACAGAAGTTTCTGTATTCGAATGAATATAATGTAAATGTAGCATCAATATTGGCTCTAGGATCTTTGCACTACTTATTAGAAAGACTTGCTTGTGTGTATACTTCTGAAGTTCTACTTGACAACCTGCTGCAGTTTTGCTACAATGTGTTTGCCTGGCTATTTTGTTATATATGTTCATTATTTCAAGCTTGTCTGTGGATGCATGTGCACGATTGGTTATGTTCTTCATGGAGTTTTCTTAGCAGTTTACATTTTGCTGCTTGCATTGTTTTGAACAGAAAATTTTATCTTTTAGTTATGAACATTATTTTTCTTCTTGGTGAACAGCATGGGAGCTTTCTTACTTAGCTCTGGCACAAAAGGTGAATGATGTGACTTTCAATTTTGGTGTTCTAAAATTCCATCTTATGGCTTTTACTCACTGGATTTGCTAAACTAGTTCCTTTTGTCACTCTGGTTACTGAAGGAAAAAGATACAGCTTGCCAAACTCCAGGATAATGATCCATCAGCCTCTTGGTGGAGCTCAAGGTGGGCAAACTGATATAGATATTCAGGTATCTTGCATGTTTCTTTTCATTTTCTGCTAGTCCTTTTCTTTTTTTGTGAGTTACACTTTGGCAGTTCTTCTTTAACTCTGCAGACATATTAAAGTGTCCATTGTTTTATTAAAACTGCATGTTGAGAAACATAAACCAGTATAGATTAGATGGAGAGATTTTTTAAGGGCATGTGGTCAAAATATTCTGAAATGAACTAATTCCTTTCATTTTTAGCATCCAAAATGAGTCAGTTTGTTTTTCATGGCATATGACTTATTTTTGCACCATTGTTGGACTTTTAATGTAATGGCTTTCTTTTAATTTTCTTACTACTGTTTTTACTTCACAGATCCATTAGAGCTTGTGATATACTTTTCTATTTTTTGTTTTTTTGTGACTCCTTTATAAGTCTTTCCATTGTGTCATCAAATGCTATGGGAAGCAGAATGAGGCATTTTGTCTTTGTGGTTGGATCTCCCATCCTCCTCCATATGTCGTGTTCTTGTTTCACTATAGTAACGGGTCCCTTCAAGGAGAGTGTACAAAATGCCATAAATTTACAACGTTGGATGATTGGAAGTTGAAGGTCCAAGGAAATGCAATTCTGTGGGTTAGGTTGAGTTATATAAACTATTGAAACTACCACATCCATTGCTTACATATTTAACTGGGTAAGTATTCACACCTTCGTACAACTCATCTTGATAAAACAGAAGAAAGGGAAATGAAGTCTAGGCAAAATATCGAATATGGAAAAGATCAACAAAATATTATTGGAAAGTAGTATACCATAAATCTAATCCTAGGATCTATTTTGTTATGTTACTTGTGGTCCTGATTAGTTGCAATTGTTGCGTAGGCAAATGAAATGTTGCATCACAAGGCAAACCTGAATGGGTATCTGGCCTACCATACTGGTCAAAGCCTCGAGAAGATCAACGCGGACACTGACCGCGATTTCTTCATGAGCGCTAAAGAAGCCAAGGACTACGGCCTTATAGACGGTGTTATCATGAATCCTCTCAAAGCTTTCCAGCCTCTACCAGCGAGTGCAGATCAGTAATGATACCTCTCAGCTTGTAAACCTCTCCCTTTTTATTACTGCATCAAATGCCATGATGGCTATGTTGTAAGAGTTCAATGGAACGGTCGTGATATTGTACTTGATTTCTCTTGATTCTGACTGATAAATTTTTATGCACCTAAAATCATTTAATGGAATTGAGTTTTGCAGTGTTGTCCATCGAAGCTGAAGCTTAAGAAATAAATTTTATTTTGGGTTTCAAGTACCTGTATCCTTCTGTTTTCTGTTTAAATTTTTTAATGACTTCATGAATGAAGATGATGGTGAGTTGAATTTAACAATTGTTAGCAGTTATTTATTAGATCAATTAATAATATGGACATTCTTGGGGGAAAAAATGACAGTTTCAAAATTATTCTTAATGAAATATATATATATATATAGATAGATAGCATCCCATCAAATCAATTGTCAACCACTGGAAGAAAAAGGTACCTCATCTCATAAAAAAAATCTTTTGGGCACTGACATGGTGATTCTTGTGCCTTTTTTCTAGTAACTTCTTTTACAGGATATGACAAACATAACACTCATGAACCTCCCCGCCTTTCCACTTTCCTGCCAAACCTTGTCACCACACCGCTTTTCCTTAAAAAAGTAAAGTTAGAAAGCAGCCAAACAAGCTCTAATAATAACACCTGAAACAAAACCTTAAAAGAAGCCAAGTGAAGGAAGTATCAGTTGTGCTATGTTATCTATGCACAGATAAGTAGATTTCTTTAATGCTATGTTTGATTTACTAAAGTAAAAGTTTCTTTAATCTCCTTATAAGATGACCATTCAATTACAATGGTGAATAATTATTTCATTTGTAGTGTAATTTTTTTTTTTTTTGTAATCATTTTGTAGTGAACCATTAGCAGGAATAGATATTAGGATAGAATAGTCATTTCATTTCACCTTCATTTTAATGAACTGAACACTACCTAAGACTTAAACACTAGAACCTAATTAGAGCAGGAAGGGTGAACAAGAATCCTTTCATCAAAGAAATTGCTTCTCAGGAAGCTTGTTAAGGATGATGATGATGATGAAATGGGTAGTTCTTCAAGCTCATCATAGAAGTCATTTTCTTCTGATTTGATTGTTGGAAAGGTCATGAGAGGAAGAGGATAAGAGAGTGGCTCTTCATCAAGTAGGACACTTGGTGGTGAGTCATTGGTGTCCTCTATGGTTTCTGCAAAAGGGTTTTGTGATTGGCTAACTGGAGATTGTGAGTAATGGAAATGATCTTCATTTGCATCTTCATCACTGTTCATGAAGGGTTGTTGTTCCTCTTGGTCATCTTGTGCTTCATGATCTTGAGTGAGTTGGGTTTTGGGTTGTTTTGATTGTTTGTTGAGGTTGGTGGTGGTGGTTGTGTGAAGATCAGGGCCTGGATGATTGTGGTTGGAGGTGTAAGTGATGATGAGCATGGAAGCTTCCGTTTTGCATCTTTCTACTTGTTTTTTGGCTGGACAACCCTTTGATGTGCTGCATCTGTAGTAACTCCTAGAGAAAAGTAGCAAGAAAAGAAAACTGGTCAGAACGCATTATGGAGAGAGAAAAGAGAGATATAAATATTAGAGGGAAAAGGGAAGAATGAAAGCCGGATTCTGTGTCTCTAAAATTTTATCTTCCGTCCCAATCCATTTTCAATTGTACAACACGATGAGAAGTACGAGATCTTTTGTCCTTGAATTTGCCAGGCTCAAAATATTTGTCTGGAGTTTCTGTTTCGTGACAGAAAAACATAAAAATTTGGGGATAGAAGAACCTTGGCCACAGTGAAAATCTTAGGAACATAAGAATCTTGAGACAAGAAAACTGGTGACATGGAATTATGGGGGAGAGAAAACATTACAAGGAAAAGGAAAAAATGAAGTCTAGGATCCTCTATTCACAAAAATCCTTCTCCTTTGTCTCTAATGTATTCTCAATTCTCAATACATTGTAAAGCATGAGATCCTCTGTTCTCAAATTTTCCCATTTTAAAACATTCATACTCATTTGATTATTTGTTTAGATTCTCTAGTAGTCCAATATTTATGGGTGTTTCATGACAAGAGAACATAGAGATTTGGGATCTGAAAAAATTTTACGTCGGTTAGAGAATGTATTAGAATAGATGACAGAGATTTTAGGGTAGTGTCCAATACCAAAAATGAAATGAAAGCCCATCAACAAGAAGTTTGCCACTAATTCAGCTAAAGAGAACAGAGACAGAGAATTAAGAGAGTGAAACCTTGGAAAAGGGGATCCTTTGATGGGTTTTTGCCCATATTTCCTCCATGACCAACAATCAGAAGGTGGACCTTCACTCCTCTGTTTTCTATGATCATTTGCTTCAATCTTCACAGTAACCACACCCTTCTGATTCTCCTTCCTATTACAACACATGGGGAGAAAACATTACATACATGAATAAGTTAAAAACACAAAAATCAATCACAGAATCGGACATATAACGTACATGAATAGATGTAAACCTTGTCCACTCATGTTTATTTTTATGTCTAATTGTGTAATCAATTTCTATGTTTGTAATAGAATTGTGTACATATTTGACGTAAACATCTTCAAGTATCAAAGAATCAAAGCCAACTCCATCAAAATTAAAAAAAAACTAAGAAAAAAGAGTTCAAACACTAGCCTTCTTTTGGATGGCTGATCAGTTTCTGGTTGAAGTTGTATTGTAATATTTGAGTCCAATTCTTGAGAGTGAGAACCATCCATGACAGATCTTGCCTCTTCTTCTTCTTTGTGTATAAGCTAAAAAAAACTACTGAGAGTTGCTTAAGAAGATGAAGTTGCAAAAGCAGCTATAGAGGAAGAAATAAACAAAATTATAGCTCTAATAGATTGAGAGAGAGAGAGAGAGAGAGAGAGAGGAGAGGATAACAAAGAGATGACAAACCCACAAGTTGCTTTCTCTCTTTCTTTTTCATTCCATTAAAAATACAACGCCATTCATAACTATGCATGTCACCTGCTCCCATCTTGTAATCATAAACACACATTATCCAAATACGTAACTTTATGTCTTGGTTGGACAAGTATTGTCAGTATTCAAAATTTTTATCTTTTGTAACAAATGAATTTTAAAATATGATCGATCGAAAATGTATTGAGCCTAGAAATACATAGATTTTTTTAACAGAAGATCTGTGTGATTTTAATTGGATGACCAATCTACAATCCGTGATTGTCATGTACGCTTAGGTCATGTTTGTTTGGGCGAACTGGATTAGCATTCCCATGACTAATAGTCCTAAGACTACGAATCCGTTGGATTATGTATCCTATCTTAACTAATAGTCTAGTTTAAAATAATTAATCCGTACTTCAATTGTTTAACCAAATATCGGATTAATAATTTTATTGGACTATTAGTCCAATCCCAAACTCATGTCCACCCAAACAAACATGGCCTTAGGGGCTTATGAGTCCACTACTCTTGACCAACCAAATCCAACCATTAAATTCAGACACACATAGATGAGAATTCAACAATATTAAGAATTTAGGGAAAAAGTACCTAAAAAATTGTCTAAAAAAATACATTTATACACCATAATCATTCTAAGTACAATTTACATTTCATTAATTTTAAATCTATACTATCTACCTTATTTTTAAATTAAAATTTAAAATACAACTGTATGATACATAACACTTTTGATGAGAATTTTCAAAACATAAAGAGGCTGTGAAATGTTTACATACACACATATATTGCGTTCTAGAACTAATGGATTTGGTGTGGGTGGCTATCAAGTGTGATGAGTGCATGTTATTTAACTTTCTTTTTAAAGGTGCATACTGACTAATTTAAAACTCATTGCTTTAAGATGCAAATAAGTGTTCTCAAAAAAAAAAAAAAAAAAAAAATGCAAATAAGAACTTTCCATTAGTACAAAATGCTTTGGATTAGTGGGCATCACTAATTACACTAATGTACTTTATATTTTGTAGTTGCAAAACTTTTTTAACATTATATGAACATGAAATCATAATCGAGATTAGGTTGGATTTCAATTACATTGAGCTTCACATTGAAAACTAAGCTTTAAACTTCAGTTTTAGGGATGTGCACCATAATATTTTTTTCTGTTTTTATTTACTATAAGATTAATGCTACACAAATATATTTTTTGTACAAAATTCTCAAAGATAAAATAATGTGATATTTTGCTATTCTTTCATTTGCATTAACGTTAAAGAAGGAAATAATGTTAGTACTATATATCGAAATTAACTCTCGCCAAAGTTGAGATGGTTGGAGACTAATGACATAACATATAACTCATTCGGTCATATTTAGGGTCAAGATCACTTCGTCTCTCCAATCTCTCATGTTTCAAATAGCATTTCTACCATACAATTTGACTCAGACTTATCGTATGGTAGAAATGTAATTTGATTTGTGTTAGAAAAGTAGATAATCTATTTTATATTGCTTTATATTTTATTAATGAATCATATTACAATTAAGGGCAAATTACATTGGTAATCCTTATAGTTTTGCCCTTATATCATTTTGATCCTTGTAATTTCAGTTCTCGGTTTTAATTATGAATTTATGATGTTGTCTCAATTTAGTATGATTAATTACAATTGCTAGTATTTTTTTAATAAAAAATGCGCACATAAGCAACATGTATTATGTGTTTGTAGGCAAAATTGTAAACTTGTTTAACTCAGTGAATTAAGCTCAATCAACTTAGACCTCGTTTGGCAAGTGGTTTTTTTAGTCAAAAAGTCACTAAAAAAATCAAAAAGCCAACAACTCATATCAAAAAGTTAAAGATTCTCTTTTCTCTCTACTTTTTGCACATCTTTTCGTAAAAAGTCAAAAAGTCATCCCAAACATACTAGTTTTTTTTAGCTCATAGTTTAGCCAAATAGCTAAAAAGTTACTAAATTAACATGTTCTCAAACGAGGCCTGACCATTTTCCTAAAGAAGAAATTAATCTACATTATCAATTTGACTAAATTGACACAAAATCTAAATTTAAGGGTCAAAATCGAGCTAATTAAAATTATAATAACAAAAATAACACAAGTCACAAAATGCAAAGACTACCAATATGATTTACTCTACAATTAAAAACAATAAATTATAATTAGAATAAGTACAAATAAAGAGATTTCATCCCTATTTCTCTAGTTTTGACTGACGGACTAACCCTGTTGATTTAGAAACTGTGAATTTAGAAACTGTGAATGTATGCAGCAATAATTGGATGGTGAAAGGTATGGGTGAGCAGCAGATATACCGATTCGTCAAAACCGATTGAATCAAACCGTTCTGTCGCATTTTGGACGGATGCGTGATGACGAACGGATGGTTGCGGATTGATTTTCTCCAATTCGCCAATTTGGCGGACGGATGGCGGATTTGAGGTTTCTTTGGCCACAACCGAACCGCCAAACCGCAAGCACCCTTAATAATTTATAAGACTTTGTATTTTCAATTTGTTTAAATATTTTGTTTGTGTTTTCAATTGAAAAAGAGTTTAAATATTTTGTTGAAAAAAAGTTTTCAACTTGAATATATTTTTTGAATTGAAAAAAATAAACGTATTATTTATTTATATTTTTTGGTTTTAAAGGCCTAGTTTTTCATAATACAAAAAATTCAAAAAATCAAAAAGTCACTATCCTATTTAAGTCACATCATCTCATTCAAATCACATCATCTCTCTACCACATCACTTCAAACCCAATCCATATTTCACGTTTTTTTTCTTCATAAAAAGTTAAAAAGTGCACTTATTTAGATCATCCCAAACAATCCTTAAATCTAACTCTAAAAGTAATAAATAGAAAATATGATATATGCTGGTTGGTTTTTGTTTTTAAAAGCATATATAAATGTAACAATACAGAGACATACAATCTCTACTATTGTTCTGTTCATGGTTTTGGTGGTTTGAACTGTTTTTATATTTTAAGAACCACATATTGTAATACTTTATGTGGATGAGGCATGCTGTGATTGTAATATGTGGATGAGGCATGCAGTGATTGTAATATTCTAAAGTTTCAAACTTTCTTTCTTTGGATGAGGCATGCAGTAATTGTAATACTTTTTTAAGTCATTAACAGTAATGTTCTCTTTTTTCTTTTTTTGAGGAAGTGCACAAGTTGAACTATATTGAAAATTTATAAAATTTCAAACCGCCAAACCGATTCGCATCCATCCGCCAAACCGCCAATTCGCTCAATTATGTTATAAATTTATAAAATTTCAAACCGCCAAACCAATTCGCATCTAGCCACCAAACCGCCAATCCGCTCAATCCACATCCGCCGGATTAGTGGACGGATGCGGATTGATTTTCTCCAATATGGCGGACGGATGGCGGATTGAAAGTTCCGTAGCCGCAATCGACCCGCGCCCATCCCTAGTGAAAGGTCAACTACTAATGCCCCATCAAATTGGCCTAGAGACATATTCTTTGTAATTATAGGACAATTAGTTGTTCCTCAGAACATTGCTACATTCTTTCTGGATATTCTTGTTTATGTGTTTTTTGGTTGTCTTTCTTTTTCTTTATGATCTCTGGTGGGCTGCCTGTTACATGCTATGCATGCACGACTAAATTTGGTGAAGGAAAAGTCTATGGACCAGGAAAATAAATTAAAAAATATCCTAAAATGTCAAATCTATGGTGTATAATTAAAGTTGTTATTGTGGGGTACGTCATTAATGAATCTTGGCCTTTGATACCAAATTTTGATCGGTTTCTAGTGCTTTCTTTTTGGGTTTCCAGAATTGTTCTTTAATGAAATGAGACATCAGTTTCTATGGACTTGTCATTTGTTCTCATATTTGAAACTTGTCATCTAACAGTTTATTTCAACCAGTTATTTTATTTGTATAGAAATTAATACATAATTGGATACTACTTTTTCATATGGATGTGAGACTCACAACAAAGTGTGACCCATCTCATGTAATAAGATTGTGTCTCACTTTGTAGTTAGTTAGACTTTTTCAACAGTAACAAGTTTAGAAACGCATAAATTGATTATGAACATTGAATACATCTAAATGGACAAGTTTTTGAAAGTGAATATTACCAACAAATTCTTTAAAATTTTATTTATTTATGTCTATTATATGTTCTAGTGTTTGATTGATGTTTTCGTAGAACTGCAATTTGAATGGTGGGGTGGTTCCCCTGAATATGAAGAAGAAGAAAAAAACCATTGAAGTCATGGAGTGAGACATTATCATATGTCAACTAATTACTAGATCGTGGTAACCACTTTATATTAAATTCATTCTCTTTTACAAGTTGTTATATTCATATATTCAACAACACACACACACACATATATATATATATATATCTCGACACTTTATGATACTTCATCCAATGAAAACATTTTATTTTGGATCATTAATTCATTGCTGCTTTTGGATTAAATGGGTTGGAAGATATGGCAACAAAGTGGGAAGAAGAAGCTTTTGCTCCTGATGAGTTCCACCGCCTTCATACAACCACTTCACATCATCACAACCACCCTCCTCACCCTCCTCCTCCCCCTCTCCTTCCTCCTCCTAGCCAGCCTCTCCACTTCCCACTTTCTCTTCAAAAAACCACACCCTTCACCACTACAAATACAGATAAAGATCACACTTTTTTTGTGTGATATATATTTTTTAATCACACATTTTAAGTTTTATTAAAGTGTGATCTTTGGAAGTGTAATTAAAAGGGGTCATTTTTAATCACACTTTTTAAGTGTCATTAAAAAATGCTTTCATCACACATTTTAAGTGTAATTAAAAAAATTTAGATCACACCTTTTAAGTGTGATTAAAAAAATTTTATATCACAGCTTTTAAGTGTACTTAAAAACATTTAGATCACACCTTTTAAGTGTAATTAAAAAAATTTTGATCACACCTTCTAAGTGTGCTTAAAAACATTTAGATCACACCTTTTAAGTGCGATTAAAAATATTTGGATCACATCTTTTAAATGTGATTAAAAACATTTAGATAGTGTGATTAATAACATTTAAATCACATCTTTTAAGTGTGATTAATAACTAATAAAACCTGTGATTAAAAAAAAAGAATTCGACATGTTTGAAGAATAATCAATATTATGCGTGCATTTGAAGAATATAATACACACTATATACTATATTTTGAATCACAACCATATATTGAATGGAATAACGTCATATATTTCATAAATGAAAGTTAAATGTTCAAAAGTATGTACAAAGAAATTAATAAAAAGTTTTTAACTATGATTACATATATTAAAAAAAAAAAAAAACTTGAAAAAACTAAGTTCTTAAATTCTTTGACCATATTTTGCATCTCTCCAAGAAATTTCTGACCTAAAAAATAAAAAAACAAATTAATTTAGAAACCGCTAGAAGCATATGAAAAAACGTACTATTTTTGTAGAGACTGTTCTTGTCTTACGAAAGACAAAATCGAACATTTTCCCATCATACTGACTCTTCATCCCCTGCATCAATAGAAAGAAATAACGAATTTAATTATTACTAGTATAAAATGTTTGTATTACCATATATAAATATGACATATACATATGGAGCATGATTGAACAGTATATATAAACACATATTAGTAAATCATAGCCTTGAAAAGATTTTGTCAAAAAATTATTATAGCAACACATCAACAGAGAGAATAAACTAAACTAAATCCCAACAAAAATTAAAGCTCAAATCAAGGTAGAGAGAGAAAAGCAATTAATATACCAAGTCAAAATGGGTCAACTCCAAAAGACTAAGCAAATGAACAATCCCCCACAGTTCTAGTATTTGAGTGTTGAGTAATTCCACCAAGATTTTAACAATTATGTGCTGGTGTATCTGTTTTCAGATAAGAAAAAATATAAGTAAAGAGTGGATAGAAAGAGAAGAAAGAGATGAAATGATGAAAGAGAAAAGAAGAAAGAGCACAAAAGAGAACAAGTTTAAAGGAGGGAAGGTCTGGAATAGTTATATAACTACCATGACCCAAATTTGTTTTCAACTTAACCAAACTTAATTCATGGTAATTTGTCCATACACAAAGCAAAGTCGTGAATGCACTATCATGTATAACAGTCATAGAAAAGAGAGAAGTGCATATTGCATCATAGCAAAGTGCATCTGATTGGGCTTGCCTTTCATGCTAACCTAGTTAAGATGAAAGGGTTTTGCTATGATGCAATATGTACTTTTTTTTTTGTTGTATCATGTGTTGTACTTTTCATGGTCTTTTCATCAATAAAATTTTCTTTTGCTAATCAAAAAATAAAAAATAAAATGGATAACCATCATAACGCTAATCACACTTTTCAAGCAAGATAACAATAAACACTGAAGATATAATTTCTATTAAATGTTTGAGGACATGCTATCTTCAAAAAACATAGAAAACTACTATATGATATTTGAAAAATCATTAAAAAAAAAAATTATTTATTCATCATGGTGAACATATAATTTCTGAAAACAGTGATGTTCAGAAGCCTGTTTTGTAACTTAGCCTTCCAAACCAAAGAAATTGGAGATTTAGGATCATAGCACCCAATAAATCGAGTTGATTTTAGCTATTCCATAATATGTACATAGTTCACTTATGCAAGAATAAATATTCGCTTGCCATCACTCAATAAGTAACTTTTCATGGAGAGTCTCAAGCTACCGTCTCAGATTATTTCAATTTTAGAATCACAAATTAGAAGCTATATTTAAAGATAACTCTAAATTGACTTTGTACTCTTATTGAGAACAATGTATCTAAGGTAGTGAACATTTGGCTTGTAACCTATTATCTACCCAACTTTGTCTATTTCTAATTGCTATTAGTGAAAATCAAATGATGCCAAAGGCAAAATAAAAAAATTACAAAATATTTATTTATCATATTTCGAATTGGGTTCATCCTTATATTCATTGTATTGGGTATCATGCAATACAAGAGTGATATACAAGACTGATCTAGTGTGAAACAATCTCAAACTCTTGAGTGTAAGAGTGATATTTTGTGAAGGTTGTGAGTTTTCCTAAGATGTACTTGAGTTTACTATCTTCTATTGACAAATGCTTTTGTATGAAGTAAAATTTACATATTTTATGAAATTTGTTATGTTCTTGAAGTGATTATATATTCCTTACCAACTAAAAAAATTGTTTATTAGCAATTTAAAGAACGAAAGTTATATCACACTTACATGTTGGATTTCAACTCATATTCTTTAGTACGAAATTAATCCATTCAACTCGCACTTCATCAAGTTCGGTTTCTGTGTAAGTCTTTTTTCCATTGAACTACAAGAGGTTATTTAGAAACAATTAGATCATGAAGAAGATGTACCAGTATCATGAATATAATAGTAATAGAAGTTTAGAATTTGTCTCACATTTTGTTTTCTTAGGATGCTTTGATCTCTAATGAGGTCTTTCATATACCTCATTACATAAAACCCACATTCCACATTTGTAGGTTGTTGCGGGGACTACATGAAAGCATTTTCATTATTATTAGAAACTAAATATAAAGTGTTATGATCAAGCTGAACAACCATTAGCATAAATATAAGTATGATAAAATTAGAGAAAATAATATTGATTACCTAAACTACTTTCCAAACTGGATTGGTCCTTCTCCTCCTTTGGGTAGTTTCATAAATTTTCAAACCACTTTATGAAAGAAATTTCAAAAGTCAAAATATTTTTTGGCAAACTCAAATTGCTTAAAAATGTACGAACTAGCCAAACTTACGTGTTTATTACAATTTCAAGGCTTGTGTTTATTTTAGAATTAATCGGATCAAGCAAGTACACAATCATCAATGTTAGATCAATGACTAACAATATCCAATGGTATCTACAATTGAACAAGTCACAAGTATGAGCTTAATAAGTTTATTATCATTTGAACACATGAAATAAATCGTTTTAGATAATTACCCAATATTATAAAGAATTAAAATCAATTGCTCTAGCATAGCCTCCTCTAATCTTCTTGCAAGCAACACTGATTTTGATTTCTCCCCATCCATAGTTTTTCCACTAACAATACAAGGGTTAACAAATACAAATTGTTTCCTCCAATTGGAAACCTTCAACACTTGATGGAGATGACTAATAAAAGAAACAAATGTTAATTAAATTCGTAATTCATAAAATCTACAAAAATAGCGATTGATGTAGCAAATTTTCCTTACCTCATGTACAACATGATACATGTAACAAATAATTTTTTTACATGACATATGTACTCCATGTCTACTTTTTGAAGTTGGATATTGATCTCCACTCCAAATATGTCTTTCTCTAGTGGAATGTCTATGGCTTCATCATACTTGATATGCTCGACTAATGAAACAAAAGATTGAATGGACTCTTGATATTTTCCACATTCAACATTAATTGAAACTCCCTAAGTTTAAAATTTTCAAAATAAACAAATATAAGTCAACTTTAATTTTAAGAAAGTGTAATAAAGTTTCTAAGTTTGAATATTTTACCTCATCACCGACCAATACAAGATTTTTGGGCCAAGCAACAAAAAATCCCACTGTTTCTCCAACAATAAACATCTCATCTGAGATAGGTATAGGAAGAGGGGCATCTTTTTGAATAACAACTTCAATAGACACACGTACATTGGATTCTTCTAATGGCACCGTATGAATGGCTTCATTGGGTTCAATTCTCTCATACATCGTGCCATGTGCAACAATATTTTCAATGGAACCTACCGCGAGTTTACACGGTTTGCCCTATAACACACAAAGTTAACAATGGAACTTCTAAGAATATCACTAATGATATTATAAATTATAACATCAATATATAAAAACTACAAACTTTTCTCTTATTTTGTTTAGGATCTTGAGGTGGAATGTCGTCCTTACTTCTCACTCTATTTTCTGGTAAGATAGAATCATCCTGAAAATTGCCTTTACCACCACTTTTCAGCGTGCTTGAACATTTGCCCTATAACAAGCACACAAATAACAACAAAAACACTAATAAAATCACTAACAGTATTGGAAAATATAACAACTTTAGGTGTTCTAAATGCTACACACCTTTATAATCTTTTGGGTAAGAGCTTGGGGTGGAATATCATTCTTAGTTCTCACTCTGTTCTCTGTTGAGAGAAAATCACGCGAAAAATTTCCTTCATAACCACTTCTCAAGGCATTTGAACTAACATGTTCAGATTCTGGTGTATGTGGTATTTGTTGTTCCACTGCACTAAGCCTAGCTTGCAATTGTACCACCACTGTCTCAAGATCATTACGTTTCTTCTCCCAATGTAACTGATTCCCACGTCTAGGCAAGTGAAAGTAGGTGCTACTTGTGACAGAATTTCCTACACCCGTTACTCGACTAGAAGATTCAGGAGTACCTAATGCCATAGTAAGAATGTCATTGCATCATTCAGTCTTTAAACTCCCATCACTTTTTTGTTTGGTCAACTCATCCTACAACATTACATTACTATATAAGAAAGATGAACAGTTGAGGTAGTATAAAATAAATGCAATCAGTACACACAAATATCTTACAATTCTCGCAGCTTGTTCCATAATTGTCTTGTCATCATATTCTCCATTTTTATTTTGACGAGTCTTTTTCCATAGAATGCTTCTGTCCAAATCTTCAGTAGATCCGGTCATACGTTTCTATCAATCAAACATATATCAATTTTTCAAAATAATCACATCAAAATTGTTGTTAAATTATAAAATTTATAACCACTTATATAGTCTTCTTGAAAGCCAGCATAGCCCTTTCGACTGATTCCATGGTTATACTTATTTTGACTTCGTCTCCATTTCTGAACCTGGCTCAAAATCTTTAAAAATGTAACACACAATGTTAATCCAAATGTATAGCATTTAATATTTTTTTGGGTGAATAAGCCACAAAATAAAACATAAAATTTACAAGATTACAAGGGGCATGCCACTGTTATTACATAACTATACAAAGTTTGATGGGTCTAGCATTTAATGCTGACATTTTAAATAACTAAAGTTTGATTATTTTTACCTCAAATTCTTTTGATAGTCGCCCTTCAAGAAATGAGTCCCAATGTCTTTGTTCAACGAATCCATAAATTGCTGGTGGGTTTGATATGATCTCAGGATTGGACTTGTTTTCACATATGTACTTGGTAAGTTCTATCTTGGATGTCCTCCATTTTGAACAAATTGAAGATAACACTTTTTTCTTACTTCTTTCATCCACTTTGTATGTTAACTGAGTAGTGAAAAAATATAATGTTATAAAATTCAAATTTTGATTACACTTAAATACAAGTTTAAATGGCTTACATACCTCCACACAACTCCATAATTTTTCTTTCGGTTCACCTGGCACCTCAAACCAGTCTTTATAGCATATCAGAACCATTGTGCAAGCCAACACCCCATGATAGCTTGAACATTTGATTGAATTGTTTCCAATCAATTGGCCATTCTCGATATAGTCAATGGCTTTTCGTACACCAGAACTCCTATCCTTTATGACATCTGGTAATGTTGTTGAACCTCTGCCTTTTCTTTTATTAGATTTTGGTTGTTGCTGGTAACCATGCATCCTCTCCATCAGTAGGCAGGACATGAGAAATATCCATCTTGTGAATAAAATAAAAAGAAATTTAACAAAAAAGGTTAAATAGTTAGACAATTAAATATAAAGACATGAAGAAAATGAATGTATATAAGTCAAACATTTTAACATGAAAATACAACACTTAGACATACATTCTTACAAAGACATTTTTTTTCTATCATGGATTATCGAGCCAAGTTCCCTCACAATCTTCTCGCACGTAAGATGACAAAGAATCATCAACCATATCTAATGATTCAACTTCTGGCAAAACTTTTGTAAAGCCATGATGCTCTATACAAAAATCATTGAACTCATCATCCTTTTCATAAGAATATTGTTTTTGAGGAGGTTCTATCACAACTAACCATCTCGGATCAAGTTGATCTTGTACATAAAAAACTTGCTTAACTTGGGAAGCCAAAATGAAGGGATCATCTTTATGGCATATCCTCCCTAACTCAACTAATGTGAAACCCAACTCATCCACTCTAATTCCCTTTGTGTTGTCAACCCAATCACACTTAAATACCGGAATCTTGAACATATTGTAGTCAAGTTTCCATATCTCAGTAATAACTCCATAGTAACTCATATCTGTAAACACTGAATTCTTATCCTTATAACCTGTCACTTGCATTGTTGTTGCCACTAAACTAACTCCACTGTTTTGGCTGACTCGTGAGTTATCCCGATCTTTTGTGTGATAACGACAACCATTGATGATATAGCCAGGGAATTTTATAACATCCAATCGAGGTCCTTGTGCTATCCACTTCAGGTTATTTGAGATATTATTTTGGCCACTTAATTCCTTTGAGACCTGTATATGGTTGAATAGTTAGCTAATTTTTTTCTTAATAATATTCTGTATTAGAAAAAGATAAATGTTAAATTACCCTAATACCTTTTCATGAAGCCAATACATAAATGTTTTATTATGCTCAATTTGTAACCATTTTTGACTTTGTGATTGACGATGATATTTTAGCTTCAACCAAGCCATATGCTCCCTATCAAATCATGAATAAAGCAATATATTATGAGATAAATCTCTAACTTGTGAGAATGCAATTGTAAAAAAATGTACATGAAATATTCTTACTCAATGTATGGTTGAATGTCACTTGTATTTTCTAACACATAACGATGTGCTTGCTCCCATTCATTACGATCAACAATAACAACATAACCACTTGATAAAGGCCTTCCAATTTCTATATCATCATCAACTGTCATGTTTCTATTAGAAGGAATCCTGATTGCATCCACTCCAGATAAGTACTCTGCACAAAACTCAACAGCTTCTTCTACAATATAACTTTCAGCAATGCAACCTTCAGGACAATTACGATTACGAACATAACCCTTTAAAATCTTCATGAACCTCTCAAATTGGTACATCCATCTAAAGTGAACTGGTCCACAAAGTCGAACTTCTCTAACAAGATGCACTATCAAATGCACCATGATATCAAAGAACGAAGGTGGGAAATACTTTTCAGGCAAACATAATGTGACCACAAGATTTTTTTGAATCTCATCTAATTTTCTCACATCCACCACTTTGCTACAAATAGCATTGAAAAAGAAATATAACCCGATAATAGCATGTCTCACATGCTTAGGTAACATAGATCGTATTGCCACAAGTAGTAACTATTGCATCAATACATGACAATCATGTGATTTTAGACCATAAAGTTTCAAATCTTGCATGGATACACGACTTCCCAGATTTGAAGAGTATCCTTCTGGAACCTTCAATTCTAATAATGTTGTACATACTCTTTTTTTCTCCTCCTTAGACAATGTGTAACATGCTGGAGGCAAGTATGTTTGCTTCTCCCCAATTTGTGGTACCAATTCTTTACGCAAACTCATTTCTACAAGATCAAGGCGAGAATTAATTACATCCTTTGTTTTTCCTGGAATATTGAGTAACGTACCAATGAGGCTCTCACACACATTCTTCTCAATATGCATGACATCCAAATTATGTCTAACATATAAGTACTTCCAATATTCAAGATCAAAGAATAATGATTTCTTCTTCCAACATTTTGTCCCACCAACATCTAATTTTTTTTTTTATTTTTCTTTCCCCATATGGTTACAAGCCCTTCAACCTTATTTAATATCTCCTCACCAGTTAATGGAATTGGAGCTAATCCAAACTCTTGCTCACCATTAAAAGCCTTTTGTTGCCTCCGATATGGATGGTAGCGTGGAAGAAATTTTCTATGGCCAGCATATGTGTTCTTCTTACCATATTTTAATCTGTGAGAACCTGTTCCTTCACTACAAATTGGATATGCATAATATCCCTTTACAGTACAACTGCTCAAATTGCCTAATGCTGGAAAGTCGTTAATTGTCCATAATAATATAGCCTTCAGCCTGAAGTGTTCTTCTTTATAAGCGTCATAAGCTTCAACACCTACCTTCCACAACATTTTCAAATCACCAATTAGTGGTACCAAGTGAACATCAATGTCATTACCAGGTTGTTGTGGACCTAATATTAACAATGATAACATCATAAATTTCCTTTTCATGCATAACCACGGTGGAAGATTATAGGGAAACATTATAACTGGCCAACAACTATAACTACTGCTAAGGGAACTGAGTAGATTTATTCCATCTGTAGAAATAGCTAATCGAAGGTTTCTTGGCTCTGTAGCAAAATCTGGCCACTCATGGTCTACTAACTTCCATGATGGAGAATTTGCAGGGTGACACATTGTCCATCAGAATCTCTTTCATGAGTATGCCATGTCAAATCCTTCGCTATTTTTGCTGATTGGAACATCCTTTGAAATCTTGGGATAGGTGGAAAATACCATAAAACTTTTGCAGGCACATCCTTTCTTATTTTAGTGGAATTCTTCTTCAACTTCCATCTTGATGTACCACATGTAGGACATGAAGTTGCATCTTTGTACTCCTTTCTATAAAGTATGCAGTCATATGGACATGCATGTATTTTCTCATATCCCATTCCCAATGCAGCAAACGTCTTAACAGCCTCATGCATGGATGATGGTATTTCATTGTTCATTGGCAGCATATCACCCAACAACGCCAGTAGATCTGAAAACCCAGTGTGAGATAGGCTATTTGTAGTTTTTAAGTTATATAGTTTAACCAATGCAGATAACTTGGTAAACTTTGTGCAACCCGGATACAATGATTTTTCCGCGTCTTTAAGTAATTTCTTAAATACTTCAGGATCAGCCGTGCAATGATCGTATGTATCTTGAACCATTTCTATTGTTTTAGCTACATTGTCTATGGAAGATGTGTCAAATTGTTGCTGGGAAAAATCTTATTCATTTAAACATGGTGATGCCTCACTGGTGACTGCTTCTCCATGCCATATCCATGTGGTATAACTTTGGTCAATACCATTGAAAAGAGATGATTTCTAATCTCTCAAATAGGTTGGCTTCTCAAGTTCCCACAAACTCTACAAGGACAACGTATTGATTGAAGATCACTTGCATGAATTATAGCAAAATTAAGAAATTGTTCACCTCCGTTCTCATAGTCTTTTGATCTTCTATCCTTGAACATCCAAGATTTGTCCATTTTAAATGTATTTTTGAATACCTATGTCAACAAAGAAATTAGAATATAAAAAAATAAACTAGAGGCTACACAATTGATAACCTCAATAGAATGTCATTGACAAGGCACAATTTCTTTGATAGAACATTAAATGCCTTAAGCAAACTTGGAAAGAAAAAAAAATGCAGGATCTTATAACAAATAATTTATCTGATCTATGAATAGTTGCAAAGTCAAAAAAAGAAAAAAAATAATAATTCCATGAGGTCTAAACAATCTAGGCATTCATTATTCAATACTATCATTTATATTGAATGTTTCATATCCAAGAGGAGAGGTGCAGGCTTTAAACACTGCTAGGAAATGCCCCAAGGCTCAAAGTGGGCTGCCTAACTCACTTTGGTGGTTTGCCTACCAAAAGAGGTAGCGACTGGCAGCAGCAACAACTGGTAGCAGCAGCAAAAACTGCTTTACAAAAGTAGCAGAGCAGCAGCAATACAGCTCTGCAGCAGTAGTAACAACTAAGTGCTTAATGGTCTTCCAGCTACCATTATAAATTTGAGTGGAGGGTAATTTCTTGAGGGTTGAGTGTTGGGGAGAAACCAACTGAGGGTTGAGTGCTGGTGAGAACATACAAGAGGGTCAAGTGATGTGAGCCATACGGTGAGGTTTACTGTTTTAAATGTTTTTAACTTACATGTTGCCAATTTGGTTTCTATATAGGGATGGTGGGTTGAGAGATGGTGTGCCCTTATATATTGAGTGAGTGTTGTAAGCTATGGATTGAGTGAACTAGTTTAAAAAACTTTCTAACTGTTTACTGCAGGTACTTATGGCTGGTTCTTATTATAGAGATTTTTCATTGTGGGTCAAGTAAAGGAAGACCTAAATTGTTTGTTGCATTGGAGGATTAAAAATTAAAAATTAAAAATTATCATTTGGTTAAGAAATAAAAAATAAAAAATAATTATCATTTAAGGGTAAAAAATAATTATCATTTTAATTTTTGGGCAGGTTATATACATACGTATGGCTATTTCAATTTAATTTGTAAAAAATTATTTCTAACCACTCGAAAGATAAAAATTATAATTATTTTTATTTTTTATTTCTTAACCAAATTAATTTTTAATTTTTAATTTTTTTTTTCTAAAAATCAAACTATACATAGCCTAAGAATCTTTTGATAAGTCATTTCTTATATTGGTAACTTATTTGATTATTTGTTAATTTTACGACATTTTTACCATCTAAAGACTGTTTGGTAACCATTTCGCTTTCATTTTTCAATTTATATTTACAAAAATTTTAAAAACTGTCATAAAAACTTGTTTGATAATTTTTTTAATTTATAAATGGTTGTCTCAGTTTGCAAATTTGAGGAAAAAACGTAAATTCAAAAAATGAGTTTATGTTGGTTTTTAAACAGAAATTTAAAAATTTTACTAACAAAATTTTTTTTCAATTAATTTTTTTTCCAATTAATTTTTTTCAATGAATTTTTTTCCAACTAATACTAACCGAAGGAGCAATTGGTAATGCTACTTTAAACCTTAGGGAGGGGATTGTAATTTCTAAAATGTGAGAGGTGTCAATATAATTTACCCAGTGATGGCAAAATTGGTATTTAAAAAAATTAAATTGCTGAGGGGGGAATCTATAATGAAACTTTAAACCTCAGGGAGGGAGATGTAATTTCCAAAATGTGAGGGGGGAACTATAATAAACATAAACCTCAAGGGGTGTCAGTGTAATTTACCCTATATATATAATCACACTTTAATTAAAAGTGTGTTTAAAAAATATATATATAGTCACACTTAATTAGAAAGTGACATAAAAAATAAATATTATCACACTCAATCAGATTAAGTGTGATTAAAAATTTGAAAATTGTATATTTTATATAAAAATCAATTTGAAATATTTTATACAATCACACCTATTTAGGAAGTGTGATTAAAAAGTAGTAATGCATATATAATCACATTTTAATTAGAAGGTGTGATTAAAAAATATATAAATAATCACACTTTAATTAGAATGTGTGATTAAAAAATATATATAATCACACTCATTTAAAAAGTGTGATTAAAAAGTAATAGTGTATATATAATCACACTTTAATTAGAATGTGTGATTAAAAATATATATAAATAATTACACTTTAATTTGAATGTGTGATTAAAATATATATATATATATAATCACATTCATTTAAAAAGTGTGATTAAAAAGTAGTAGTGTATATAATTACATTTTAATTAGAAGGTGTGATTAAAAAATATATAAATAATCACACTTTAATTAGAATGTGTGATTAAAATATATATATATATATATAATCACACTTATTTAAAAAGTGTAATTAAAAAGTAATAGTATATATGTAATCACACTTTAATTAGAATGTGTGATTAAAAAAATGTATATATAATCACACTTAATTGAAAAAGTAACATAAAAAATAAATATTATCACACTCAATTAAATTAAGTGTGATTAAAATATCAATCTAATTTTTTTTATCACACTTTCAATAAAAGTGGGATATTTTTTTTGTCAAAGTGTGATCTTTAACTATTTTTGTAGTAGTGCTTCCTCTCTTGTCCTCTTCACCAATCCCACTCTCCATGCTCTCATCTCTCTCGTCACCCTTGCCGCCCTCATTCACTCCCTCACTAGTCCAATCACTCTCATAACCAACTTGACACACTGCATTGATTTTCTTATGCACGTTACAAGTTTGCATCGGTTTGGGCATCAAATCAAGTATAGTTGCCGGAATTGATGGCTCAGGTTTCGGTCACCAGAGAAGTTTATTGACCAAGTTTGTTTTCTTTATGGGATTGCACGAGACGATGCTATATTGGTGGAGGAGGGTTTTGACGCTGGTGGTTGATGACACGGTTTTCTTTGACGTAGGAGAGGTGGGTGGAGAGGGTGGCAGTGGCTTTAACTTTGGCAGTCTGTGGTGGTGGAGGTTGAGGGATGAGGTGAGTCACTTGGTGGTTGTGGCTGTGGTGAAGAAAGAGATGGCAATGGGTGTTGGAGTGGCTGAGTTTGTTGGTTGGCGGTTGTATTATGTAAATGTGACAATTGGAATGGTTAGGATTGTGAAGGGCATTTTGGGGATTAGCTAACGAAGATGACTCTAGGGGGAATGAAGACAAGGTCTAAACTTTGACCATTCCAATTACATTTCTCTTCTTTTTTGTACTTCCTAATTCATTTAATTCATTGGGAAATAGTCAGTGGTGTGAAAGGGAAAATAAACTTACTAAAAAGTAATAAATATTGTAATTATTAACAATTAAAATTATAATTTTTTTTATTAATGTGTAATAATTTTTAGGGAATTTTTTTTAAAGTCCTTGATATTAAGATTTTATAGCATATAAAGGATACCAAATATTTTCATAATGTCTAACGTCCCTCATTATCAATCTAGAGAATTTCTCTGGACTTCCAGAGAAATTCTCTCCAGACATCTAGAGAAAATTCAGATAGTCCAAAGAAAATATAGACATCCAAAGAAAATTCACACAATCCAATGAACTTTGCATCATCGTGCATTTTATATGTTCCCTTACAAATATCTTTTCATGGAGGGTTGCCATCAAAATTCTGTTTGCTAATCTCAGTGCTCCTTGCAGGTCAAGTCCAACAAGATGAGGTGGTTGACAAATAAGAAAGAGAAGAAGTCATTGGGCAAGCTTGAACAAGAATTTCTTCAAGCACTACAAGTAATAAAACAAATTATTTTTAGTTCGTTTTGTTTTTTTAAATACACAAGTTTATTGTGTCTTAGAATTCTGCTCAGATTACGGTTTTACAGTGATTAAAATAATTCTGATTGTCTTACTGATTGTAGAATCAAAAGTATTATGCAATGTTCTAGATTTTGGAAAAAAAAGAGTAATGATCCAGAGAAAATTCACAAGTCTAGAAAAAATTCACAGTCCAAAGAAAATTCACAAGTCCAGAGAAAATTTACACAGTCCAGAGAAAAATCACACAGTCTAGAGAAAATTTAATTTGATTTCCTCACATACTCGACATGATTCGAACAACATAATTGATATTATTTTCACGTTTTGTTCACCTTTCAATTAAAAAATCTGCAATATAAATTTGGGATCTTGGATGTCTCATTTTTTGTTGATAATATGACATTCATCAAAGTAAATAAAGAAACAGAAAGCTATTGGCATGAGAAAACTTTGTACCTACATGCTATGTATATATTAAGAAAGTTGCTTTTTGTTTCTGCATGATTTGCAGTCCCAGAAACCCAACTGGACACATATGTCATCTGTAGATTTTGGGAAAAAAAAAGTAATGATCCAGAGAAAATTCACATATCCAAAGAAAATTCACACATCTAGAGAAAATTTACACAGTCCAGAGAAAAATCACACAGTCCAAAAAAAAAATCAGTCTGATTTCTTCACATACTCGACATGATTTGAACAACATAATTGATATTACTTTCATGTCTGTTCGCCTTTCAATTAAAAAATCTGCAATATAAATTTGGGATCTTGGATGTCTCATTTTTTGTTGATAATATGACATTCATCAAAGTAAATAAAGAAACAGAAAGCTATTGGCATGAGAAAGCTTTGTACCTACATCTTATGTATATATTGAGAAAGCTGCTTTTTGTTTTTGCATGATTTGCAGTCCTAGAACCCCAGCTGGACACATATGTCATCTATAGAGCAAAGAGATCCATAAGCTTCAGAACCAGAAAACTTGTTAGGCCAAGTCTTTGATGACATTTGAAATTTCAATATTCGGATTCAAAAAAGACACATTCTTGACTTCAATCTTTGGATCTCTGGAAATGTTTACAAATTCTCCACTGCCCGCGGCTCAGATCGTGGTGGTCCGGCTCATATCACGGCATTCCGACAACAGCGTGATAAAGACAGAGGCGAAGGTGAAGCCGGCGGCGTCGGAGATGAAGGCCGAAAGAGGAGAAAGGAGCAGAGAGATAGAAGAATGTGCACAAAGAAAGAGGGTTTGGTTTGGATAGAATGAAAATCGAAAAGAGAGAGGGGGTCAAATTTCTCTGATCCCATATAGTGGTGTAGGTTTAGGGACCACCATAGACATCAAAATATAATATTGTGGATCCTATCATTACTAAAAATGAGTAAGGGACCTTAGACTAATTTTTTCTAATTTATTCATGCCATGTCAGATTTTTTTGTTTTTTGTGATTTTACATCAATGAAAGTTTCCTAATCAGATTGATCCAGTCAAAGTCAATCATACTAACCAGTATTACTAATTTCATAGAAACAAAACAAAAAAATGTGTCCACAAATTTAAGTTGTGATCAAGATTTATTTAAGTGTAGTAAAAAAACATATTGTAAAAGCAAAGAAAAAAAAAATTATTTTGCCTCTATAAATTTTGACTTAAAAATTAAGTCAACTCCTATTTTTTTTAACTATATTTATTTTATATTTGAACTATTCAATTTTAGATCAATTTTACAATTGTTGCCCGTTGTTGTCTATAATTTTATTTGGAACTTCATTTTACTCCCAAACTATCTACAAATATCAATTAGACCCCTAAATATATTAAAATGTTAAATTTAAATATTTAATTAACAAATTTTAAATAATAAACTTTATAAAAAATATTTTAAAAAGTATAAAAAGCCTTATTTAAAATTGTCGGTTTAAGTTTCAAATTATGTGGAGCCAGCTTTGGAGCAATTAATTAAGCTCAAAATTCCTAGTATGTTCTCTCTCTTTCTCAACAATTGTAGCTTACTTATTCTTCAGATCAATTTAAATAGAACCAATCGACCAATAATAAGCTGAAAATTGTGTGAATAAAAATTTAGACCACTCTTTCTCAGATAAACATTTTCGTCTAAGATTTGGATAACAGTATTGAACAAAAATTACTCTCCGATAGTTACATACAATGGCGTAAGCATGACGTGGGAATGATGCAATTCAATTGAAGGAAGAGTGTAAAGAAAACGAGAAAAATTTGAGAAACGGGTAACATGCTATAACAAATCAATCACAGCTTATTATGGAAGTGCATTCGACTCCACTATGCATATGTGCATTAGAAGAATGAATTTGACAAAAAGTAGCTATGTTTAGAAAATAAAATTCACTTTTTTATGTGATGTATTATTGTTTGGTAATATCACGTGTTAATGATAATGTTGTATTACTGTTGCATTGAAATTTTATTAGAATAAAACACACTTGTTGAGTCAATTTTCTTTGTTGCTTCCATTTTTTCATTACCTTTGTCATCTCTCTTCCGTCTCCTATCCATGATATTTGAGTTCTCAGTGTCTTTTGCATTTGTTCCATCTTGTATAAATTCCTTCATTTCTTTCATAATCTTTGTCTAAAGAGATGAATATATCAACAATATAAAATTGAATCGAACATGATTCAATCTAGACTAGTTTGATTCGTTTCATTATCTTATTTCCATCAATAATTATATCAACAATCTTTTGTTTTTTTGATAGAGTTAATCTATATACACCAAATTAAATCACTGATTAGGATGGGTGCTCTACTCGTTTGGATTAGCTCATTAATACTAATCAAGCTCAAATTTGACAGTGAATTTTTTTTGTTATTATTTAAATATAGGAAAAAAGACAGTTTTAGTCCTTAAAGTATATACTTCTTCTCATTTTAGTCTCTTAAGTTTCAATTTGAGTCAATTTGGTTCTAACTCAATCGTCCATCTACATTGATAATGGGAACAATAAGGATAAAAGATAGCTTTAGTCTCTAAAATATGTGTTCATTGTCATTTTAGTCCACTAAGTTTTAATTTTAACATTTTGATCTTCAAAATTGTTAATTTGGTTATATTTCTAAAATCTGGAAAAGTATTTTATCCTTATTTTTAGGGTTAATTACATTGATACCCCCTTTATTTTTTTGGAATATCATTCACTCATTTTAATCCTTAAAATTATACTAATAGCCCTTGTTAGCTAACTCCGTTAAATGCAATGGTTAAATGACTATAATAACTTTATAGATTAGTTAAATTTCATCTGTTAGTCATTACTCTAAACTTTACTTTAAGATTGGTTTGGAAAGTGGATTTTTTTAACTTTTTGGCTAACATATGAGTTTAAAAAAATTTAAGTATTTGAAAATAATTTTTTACTTTTTTATGAAAAAATGTGTAAAAAGTATAGAAAATAAAAAGAAATCTTTGACTTTTTTATGTGACTTTTGAATTTGTGACTTTTTAACTATATTTTTATTCCAAACAATCCCTTTTCAACCCATGGTGGTTGTGATTTGGAACTTGAGTTAATACCTAGAAAAGATGGAGAAATGATAAAGATATTTTGTATGGTAGTGCAGTATAATAAATATTGAAGGTAAATTTATTTTTGATGTATTGAAAAAAAAAATATTCAAGGTAAGACACGTGGCATAATATGATTGGAGCTAGGTCGAAATTGATAATTTTGAGAATCAAAATGATATTTTTCAATAATTTAAGGAGCATTCGTATAAATAATCCAATAAATATATAAAGATTCTGACTTCTAAAAAGTTCTCTTGGTTTTCTTTGAGAGCCAAATTTACACTTTGTTTGATTGTATACATTTTTATTTTTGTAATTTCTAACCTTTGATGCGATAGAGAATGAGTTAATAGAAAATGATTTTCATAATCAATAGAAAATGAGGATTTGGTAAAAACATATGTTTTCTTGTTTTTTAAATATACACATAGTGTTTTGTTATTTTAAGGAAACCTACTAGATTTTTACCTACTCTATTAACATTGTCGTCACCATCAATTAACACTATCACAGTTGTTGCTGCCACTACGATGCTTCCCAACCATCCCCACCTCACCCCTCAGCCGTCGACACTGCCAACACTGCCACAACTACCAAAACTATCCTTTTCAAAGTTACAATCAAATATACAAAAATAAAAGAGAGGTTTGATGGAGCAATGGTAGGTGTTGATGGTTGGAGCTGCCCGACGCTGCTATTGACATAACAACAGGTGCACCATAGGTTGG